TAATGATACTGATGACTACTTTATATGCCATCCTAGAGCCCTCATGCAGTGGCTGATGGAAGTAGAATCAGGCACCCATATCTATACACTGAACTGAACTCTGGAACAGTTACAGATAGGGAGGTTTGAAGATCAAAGGGGTTGGGCCTGGCTCATGAGCCCACATAAACATCTGGCCTGTACAAGGGGGAGCACATGGACCCCAGACAGATCACTGGGACACCAGCATGGAACTGATGCGGACCCCAAGAATGTGGGTGTCAGTCAGGAGGCCTTGGAAATCTCTGGGGCCTCTTGGAGTAGATCAGTACTTATTCCTAGCATCGGAATGAAATCTGGGAGCCCATTTCACATAGAAGGATATTCCCTCAGCCTAGACACATGGAAGAGGACCTATGCCCTATTCCAAAGGATATGACAGACTCTGAAGCCATCCCCAATAGAATAACTCACTCTCCCTGGGGAGCAGAAATGGTATGGGATAGGTAGCGTGTTAGTGGGGGCGCAGGTGAGGAAAGGAGGCATTGGGAACTGGCATTGACATGTAAAACAATCCTTCTAATTTAAATAAAAATGGAGGGAAAATGAAAAAGAGCAAGGAATGAGGATCTGGGGGCACATCACCAATAATTGTTTCCTCATCCTTCCCTAATGATAGATTTAATGAAGTCATCACCCAGCATCTAGTGTAAAATGCGAGTCTGTGAGAAAGACAGAAATAATCATGTATATCATGATTTCTTAATTTAGGATGCAATATATATGAATTGTTTTACTGAGTGACAGTAATCAGTGTTGCACTATCTGTTTTTCTAATCTTGATTAATTACCAAGCATGGGGTCTACCCTAATGCTTTCTCAGTTTGTAGTGATGCTTGCAGATGGTTGCTTTGCCTCAGTAGTGCTTTGTAAGAGCCTATTGTGGGGATATCGCTAAGTGGATGTTCTCTGTGAGTGCTACTCAGAGATCTGCTTTCCTGACAGATCATAATTTCCTTGCAAAATTTTTTAGTAGTGATGCCCTTGAGGATTGTTCCAAATTTATTTTTATGTCCTGGGTTCTCTCTTCCTCTATATGTCCATTGTTGAATACTGGATGAACTATGAGATGTTTATACCCTATCTTGTGTAGTTAGTTATATGACTAGTGAGCAGCACTTATCTATGAAGCATCGTGGTACATCTTGCCAATGATAGAAGATAGAATCATGAATACTACTAAGTGATCTCCTTAGGAAACCAAGCATTTACTGCTTATGTTTTCACCACATTCATCCCACCATTGATCATAGCAGTATGCAGATAATTCATTCACTTCTATTTTAAATCAAAGGCAATAAACAAGTAACTCAGTTTTCTTTTGTTTTGTATCCTACATGACTGTGGATATCCAAATTTTACAAACTTACTTGTGGAATTTTGTAGAGTTCCAAAAGAGTTCCAATTGCAGCAGAAAATTCAGGCCTGATTCCCGCAATGATTCCAAGCGCTTTGTGTTGAATTTTGCATTTGTAGTTAGGAATAAACTCACTCCTTGCAGACAACCACATCAGAGGGCCCTCTAAAGTTCTTCGGTGAGAGTGAAAGGCATTGAAGAGGTGGAATCCCAAGGTTACATTGGGAAGCAGGTGGGCATCCTTATTGATCTCTTCAATGGCAAAGTATAAAGTCAGCAAATATTGGTAGTTTTTCCATTTCCCTCTAAACAGGAGGGACAGAATGATGAGCATAGTTAGGGTATTATTGTTCAGAAACTCGTAACAAATTTGGGATATTAGAGGATTTTAAGCCCTGACCTCTTTACTGACATGTAAGACTAGTGTGAGTGAGCCCCTGGCAGCTAAGGAACATCATGGAATGACTCAGGAACTCTCAGATTTGACATATACTTCAGTATTGGTTTCTGGAAGTGCATAGTGTGGATTGAAGTGTCTTTGTCCTATGGTTGCTGAATACATGGTGCTTATGGTGCTTATGCTACAGGGTTATTCATCAAACACTAAGATAAGGAAGAGTCAATTTTGTTTTCTCTAGAATGTGAAGAAGAACTTCATAAACTTTTATTTTGTACTGGAATGATCTTATACTCAAATTCTATTTTATATTGGAATTACAAACAAGATTGAATTACATGACAATCCCAGTTCCCTTCTCCCTCTTTTCCTCCCCTAACACTCTCCCCACAGCTAAAAACCCTACCTATCATTTCTTCTAATCGACACCTGACTCAACATTTCTGCTCCTTCATGACCTCTGCATCTTTCCTTTTCTACCCTTCTCATTCTCGTAGCTCCCTCCCCCTTTCTTCCCAAGTTCTCAATTTGCTCAGGGGAAGGTGACCCTTTGTCCTTCACCAAGTTGCAGAGTTTGTCTCTTTTAGGGTGCTCCCTGTTTACTAGTTTCTCTGGCAGTGTGGATTGTAGGCTGACAATCGGTTACTCCATGTCTAAAATCCACATATGAGTGAACACATATCATGTTTGTCTTTTTGTGACTGGGTTACCTCCCTCAGAATGATTTCTTAGAGTTCCATCAATTTTCATGCAAATTTCAGGATTCCATCACTTCTTTCTGCTGAGTAGTACTCCAATGTGTAAATGTACCACATATTCTCTAACCTGTTTTCAGTTGTGTGGCGTGTAGTCTGCTTCCTGTTTCTGGCCATTACAAATAGTGTTGCTATGAACATCACTGAACAGATATCCTTGTTGTATGAATGTGCTTCTTTTGGGTATATGCCTAGGAGTGGAATTGCTGGATCTTGTGGTAGACTGATTCCCATTTTCTTGAGGAGTTGACATACTGATTTCCAAAGTGGCTGTACAAGTTGACAACCCACTAGCAGTGGAGAAGTGTCCTCCTTTCTCCACATCATCTCAAGCATAAACTGTCATTGGTGTTTTTGATTTTATCCATTCTGACAGGAGTAAGATGGTATCTCATAGTTGTTTTGAGTGGCATTTCTCTAATGACTAAGGATGTTGAACACTTTATGTGTCTTTCAGCCATTTTAGATTCCTCTATTGAGAATTGTCTATTTATTTCTGTACCCCAATTTTTTTAATGGTTTGATTTTTTCTTTTTTTTCTTTTTTTATTAAATTATTAATATTTTCACATGTGTTTCACATGTAAGTCCCTTCTCCCTCTCCCTCCCCTCACCCCCATCCCTCTCTCTAGCTTCTTGAGTTCTTTGTATATTTTGGAGATCAGCCTTCTGTCAGATGTGGGGTTGGTGAATATCTTTTCCCAGTCTGAGGGCTGCCTTGTTGTTTTGCTATGTCCTTGGCCTTACAGAAGCTTCTCAGTTTCAGGAGGTCCCATTTATCAATTGTTGACCTCAGTGTCTGTGCTACAGGTGTAATGTCCAAGAAGTGTCCTGTACCAATTAATTCAAGTGTCCTGTACCAATTAATTCAAGGTATTTCACACTTTGTCTTCTAATAGATTCAGTGTGGCTAGGTTTATGGTGAGGTCTTTGATCCATTTTGACTTAAGTTTTGTGCAGGGTGAATGGCTTGGGTCTCTCTGTAGTGTTCTACATGTTTGCATCCAGTTATGCCAGCACCATTTGTTGAAGATGTTCTCTTTGTTCCAGCATATATATTTGGATTCTAGGTCAAAATCAGGTGTTCTTATATACTCAAATTTAATTGTCTAATACTTTTGTTTGCCTATCACCTAGTGCTAATGTTTATCTACGGGAGATGGACAGATGGCTAAGCAGCTAGGGACTCTGATTCCTTTTGTAAAAAATCTATGGCCTCAATTCCCAGTGCCTACTTGGAGACTCAGATCCATCTGTAGGTTTAGGAAACAAATCCTCTTCTAACGTATGTGGGCACCAGGTACAATGTGGCCAACACACTTATAGAGGAAGGTAAGCACTCAAACATATGACATAAAATAAATAAACCATTTTGAAAAGTGTTTCTGTGACTTGAGAAATGATTGAGAGGTTAAGCCTACTTGAAGCTCTTGTGTAATATTCTGATTCAGGTCACAGCAGCCTCTCTTTGTGTTACAATAGTGTGCAGCACAGTTTTAGGGTGGAACCCACATCCTCCTTTGGTCTCTGCAGGCACCAGGCACAGAAACATATTGGCAAAGTAATTAAAGATATAAAATTTAAAAAAATCTTTAACAAAATTTAAAAAATAGTAAGCAAAAAGAAGATCTTTTATTTCAAGATTACTTCTTAAAAGAGTGAGCAGAGTTTCCTGTGTAACACAGTGAAAGAATCAAAATAAGCAAAAACAGAACACATAAAGAGGAGAGTCTCCTGAATCCACGAGGAAGTAAAAGAGTGCTTAAAATGAGAGGAAAGGAAACTTTGCTAGAAGGTGGATGGGCTCAGCTTTCTCACTCATGGCATTTTATGGTTGGGGAGGGGTCAACAGGAGCTACTTTCAAAACCTGGAGTAGATGAGAGCCTGGCTAACCCAACTAGAGTCAATAAGAGAACTCATGGGCTTCAAGTCCACTGTGTTCTGTTGAAGCAGAGATTCTACCTAGAGATCTATGGGCAGCAGGAAGAAATGCCTTTGGTTACACTGTGTTTCATGAGGTCTATGGCTAGATGACATATTAAGAGAGCATCTGTTGCTCAAAAACTGGCAATTAGCAACCATTGAGGGAGGGAGAAATTAGTCTTCCCTTGGGATTATCCAATACCCAGTGTTCAACAATATAAGTGGACATGTATATAGATTTATACATGTGTTTATATGTGTACATATGTATCAATGCATGTATGTATATAAATACATACATGTGTAGCAATATGTACATTGCATAAATTCTTATATGTATATAAATATGTGTATGCATGTAAACATGTCTATAAATTTATATATGGCTATAAATGCATACATGAATACAAATGCTTACACATGTATATATAAACATGCATAAGAATGCATACATATATAATTTTATGTATGAATTAAATGCATACAGGTGTATATATACATATGTAAATGTAAACATGCATATAAATACATTCATGTATATAATTATATTCATCTATATAATTTTACATATGTGTATAAATGAATGCGTATGAATAAATGTGTACCTCTATATAAATGCATACATGAGAACTCCTGGAAAGAGTCATTTGTGGAGACTGATTCTTTAGAACTCCGTTGTGTGGAAAGGTTGGACTGTTGCAGGTCCAGAAATTCATTATCTTATTCCAGGCTGACTGTAGAAGCCTGAAAAGCCATTTCTTGGACAGCTCTGCAAGTGAGGTAGTCTCTTATAACCAAATCTAGTAACTTATCAGAGCACTGGTTTCCAACAACCTAAAATCTAAGAATAACATCAGATGTTATCTTGGGCCTTTCCTATTTTGCCAGGGACCTCTTCTCTGATGTTTCTACCAATTGATTTGAGTTACAGTTTTCTTTTTATTTTACTATGAGATCATCATGAAATTACATCCCCAAGGGAACATTGAATCTTGGATCACCTAAGTCTGTGTTCATTGGCCATGATCATAAATTCCCTCTTTTTCAATTTGAGATGGGGCTGTGAATTTTCCAATGACACAAAGCAATACTGAACACTAAACAATTGATTCAGTGGGTTATATTTGTACCTTTGTTTATATATGTGTGTGTGTTAATATTTCTTCATAACAATAATTATAAACTAATGAATTTGGGAAGGAGCAAGGCTGGGGGGACAGGATATAGTTGGAGGTAGGAAAAGAAAGAGGAAATTATAGAATTAGCTTTTAAATGTGGAGACATAGGGGAGGGGATATGATAAAAAACTATTGTCTGTAATTTTCAAGTAAACAGGAAAAAATAATAATATAAAAACTTCAGTATACAAAAAGTTTTAAAGATTGACCAATATAACACATTGAAATTAAGAAGATTCCACAGGGTATTTGTACTGTATTGAGTGTTCTTCAATAATTTCTGAGTGATAGAACATAACATGGATTTTAGAGAGAAGGAAAATTATGCATCAGAGGGATCCGGCAGCAGGTAAGATCTCTAGGAAGGACATAAGAGAGACAGCCCAGCCCTAGAAATACACAAACAAGGCTTCACTCCAGAGCGTTATCTTGGAGTTTGAATGAAACCTCTGAGACTTAGTCCATGGGGTTGTTAATAGTATAGAATTATGAATCTGTTGAACATTTCAGGGAGCCCAAAACTGTGAGGTTCCTGTGTTCTGCCTGAGAGCCACACACCAGCACCCATGCCTGGTGATTCATACCTAACAGGTTTTCCATTGCCAGTGTGTGTACTGTTCCCATGCTAATATGGCTTTCAAGTGTCAAGACACAATGGAGAATCCCTCCAGCTTAAGAGCAACCAGAGCAGTAAGTTCTGGGGTGGCCCCAGACAGTGAAATAATCTAGCCAACCCCCAGAATTCATGGATCAATGTAGTTACAGACCTCTGATGTTCAAAAGAGGAAAATGGCTCCTATGAACACAAGCTGGTGGACATCAGACACTAATCCAATAAAGACTCAGGAACAATATCAGCCAAAAAAAGACAAGAGTCCACACTGTCAGCCAACCTCCCTCCATATGTCCAGCTGGAAGTCTGCAATTACTGAGGACAGGGATATTTCTTTCTGATTTAAATCTAATTCACTACATCTAGCAGAGTACGTATATTTTCATTATTTTCTAATGTCTTGTATGCCTAAAATATAGTTTTATCAAATCTGCACCTCAATCTTTTCATCCACTTTGGATGCCAGCAGGTAGGAATACAGTTTCCATGTCAGACCCACCTGATTTCTACATGTCCTATGGCTCAACTATGTGATGTTCTCATCAAACAGGTCCTACCATTGAATTTTGGAGGACAACCAAACCACTGGAAATAGATTGTAACATTTGAATTTTTTGCAGAATTCCTTATTTGAATTAGAAACAAGATTGTTTTTTGTCAATCCCAGAGACTGATTTAGAGATACATGTGTGATTAGTTATGTCACTGCTAATTGTGTTCAACCCTAGGCATCTAGAAAATATAGATAAAGAACAATGTGTGCTTAATGATTAAGGTA